GCTAGAGGTTGTAGCTAATAAACATAGCTTGACTGAATTGGCATTGTCTCTTGGAGTTCCTTGGGCTAGGCCTGACAACAGTTGACCCAGTGTCTTCTGAAGAATCGATCCCATTTTTCATCCTAGTCTCTTATTGAGAGTAGACTTTCTGTATGTATCATTTATTTTGCCAATTTTTCTCAGATACCCAAGGCAGAAGGAATTCATGTAGGTACAAAGTCTGGATAGTAAGGCTGTCTTACAAAAGATCTACATCAGTTTCCCCTGAGTGACATCTCTGGAAGGCACCAGACTGGGCAACTCTCATTCCCGAGTACAGACAAAAACTATTTTACTATGAAGGTATTCAATGCTAGTTAATAAATATGAAGACTAACATAGTCCACTGATACTTGGCTAAATTACTCTCTGGAAACACAAATTAAAATGAATTCCAATTCTGCTTTTTGTAACAAGAGTTCTATTCACTTTTATCCTTCTCTTATGTGGGAGTTAGGGAGTTCTCTTATGTGGGTGGGAAGATAGAAAACTACAGTGCTCTTATTCTTGGAAAAAATTATATTCGACATTTTGAAATTGGATGGTCAAGTAGACTAATTAAGTGGTCAGGTGAAAAAGGGGACAGAGCTCTCACACTTTTACTAGTTGTACAGAAGAGATAATTTTATTAGATGTAAGCTATATAAAAATCTATACAACTGAATCCCTGCTTTTATATACCTGCCGAAGGTGCAAAAGGCCTCTCTCCTTTCTGTGTATTTCTGAGGTACTGTGGTTACCTCACTTGCAATATCATAGTAGGCTTAGAAGACACATCTGTCAAAAACTGGACAATTACTTATCTTTCTTAAACCAGAACAAATAAAAACAGAAACCCAGTCTACATCTAGGAAGTGGCTAAATTAAAGTATAAACATAGCTTCAAACTGAGGGGGAACTCTCAAGTCTCTGAGGCAACTGTTGCAAATCTCTTCTTCAATCTTGTTTGAGGTCCAATTAATATTTCTGAAACAAAATTATCTGCACACTTAAAAATATATGAAGAACAATTACACAGTAGAGAACTCAAAGAAAGCATGAAAACCTTTTTAACAGCCATTATTACACATAACAATCTTCAATGAAATTACTTTGTTTATCTTGCTGTATCTGCTAGAAAAAAGGATTCCTCCAGCTTTTCTCTACAAACACGACTAGATGCGAAACCAAAAAAATCACAGTAAGAGATTTATATCTTGTCTTATGGAACATCTGGGAGATGAAACCTGAGAATATGGAAAATATGAATGAGGTGACTTCTATTTATAAATTAAATGGTCTTCTGCAGCCTACTTGCTATCTACAGCTTTTCATCAGCACTGATAAACATACACATGGATCTTATAGAAAGAATACCTTTCTTTGAGGACTCAATGAGCATGTGGTCAACCACAGAATAAAGATGCTGCTGCCAACATCTAAGATGTTCTTAAAAGCTTGCACATCTTAGGGCAGTTTGCAGGTCAACAAAATCAGCAGCTCATAGAAGAGAAGGAAAAGATGTAATTGCATAGGTGTTGCTTAATTTGTTTATTTTGCAACAAACAATAATAAAAAGGCACTATGTTAATCTCTTGCAGGAAAAGAAATCTTGTACCACTATAAAAACTAACAACTTAAATACAGCATAACTTTCATGGACTAGCAGCCCCCTCTCCCCCAAAAGTTATTCAAAATGCAGAAGGAGGAAAGTCTGCAAAACAAATATTGGGAGAAATCCATATCTTACTAGTAACTCGATTTCAAACCATGTGAAACTAAAGTGTGGAAACTCCTGTCACCTGCCATGTGCATTCAATCATTTGCATTTCAAAACTGCAGAGAGAAATGTATCACTGCAATGGGTTGGGCAAGCAACTTAGAAGGGATCACAGGTTTTTTTTGTTTTTTGTTTTAAGAAAACCTGATCAGGATGCAGTGTCACCAAAGTTCAACCTGGGTTTTGCTCTTTACTTTGCCTGCCCAAGGCCACAGCAGGCAGCTGTGGTCCTGAAAAGTTTGAGAATCCCTGTGTTATACAGATTAAAATTTAATTTTTAAAATATTGATGTATTGTTCAACTCTAATTTACATGAAATAATTAATTTTATTCATGGGAAGGGGTTTTCCACACAAATTCATTTAGAAAAGGGTCTAATGGTGGGAAAGGTAGAAGAGAAGAGGACAACCAGCAGCAAGGTGGATGACTGAGTTACAGTGGCAATGGGTGCACCACTGGAAGACCAGAAGGATCATGTTAGGGACAGATTGTCATGGAGAACATCTTTCTGTGTGATCACTATGAGTTGATGGCACATAATCAATCAATCAATCAATCATTCAATCAATCAATCAATGCTTTCCAGCATCATGCAGCTATTTCATACAGTATTAGTGTCATATCCAGCTAGCATACTTGCAAGAGACAAGTCTTGATAGCCCCAAAGGATTGCAGTGAAGCACTGCAGTGGAGTATGTGAAACAGTTCTCCATGCCTTGAAGGAGCATAGATCCCATTCTTCTAGATTACCCACTTTTTCTCCCTGTTGGAAGGGACAAGATGCAGGGTTCTGAAGCATCATGCTTTGAACACTGGAAAACCTGTTCAACCCTAATACTAAAATTTCAACCAATTGCAACTCACTGTATTTATTTCACATAATTATGAGTTCTGTATTGCTTTTCTTTCCCCCATAGTATACTGATTTCCTTTCTGGAAAACTTGGACCACTTTTAAATCCATTATGCTTAAACTGTAGAACTACTAATATGTGAACAGATCAGAGTCCTCCTCCCACAATTATTCATGACTTGCGGGAATGTGTAAATAGAGTATCTAGGGGATAAGGCACTTTTTGGATTCTAAGTCATAAATAAATTATTGGGATAGTAAAAGAAAGGAATGAAGTTACTTGAACAGTCCTGGGTAAGTGAGGCTTTTAGAATGGGGCATAATGTGGCACTAAAGGAGACAGGATGGAGAATGGCTTTTATAAGGGGCATTTTAGGACATCTGAATGTTTCCTCAT